AATGTATTCATTTTGATAGAATTCAGAATGCATGTTTCAATTCCATTTAGGATTCATGCAAAATTGAATTTCCATGTTTTCATGGTTGAAATAAGCATACATTTCCAAATGAAATCCATACAAAATTGTTAATTCATTCCAAAATTGAAGTAAAAAATGAACTGAGGAGCTTGGAGAAAAAAGATCGGAATGTCTTGTTTCTTGCTTGCGCTTCAGCAAATGTAGCGTTCTTAATTGAAGTCCACAAAATAGTTTGAGGTTCCATGGCTTATTGTAAACATTAAAATGCATTTTGCAAACGAATTCATCATTCAAGTCATTTACGAATGAAATAAAACCCCACGGTTCATTCGTCCCAAACAAAACCTTCGAGTAAGAGACTACTCATTAATGCTTCGTCTAAAATAGGAAACAATGTATGCTCAATCAAATTGACAATACAAGATTAAGAAATTTAGGTACTAATGTAGGCCAAACCGCTATTTTTTAATCCAATAAATTTATCGTCCACGTTCCACCCCTTCTCACAAACTCATACAGAGACATGGTAATATAATACGTATATATATATATATATACACCTTTCCAAAGAAGTGGTGTTTATTTTCGACAATGGCTTTGAAGTAAGCATCCATGCGAACTTGGTCAGAGAGCATCTCCTTCTGGTGGTAGAGAAACGCGTAAGTGCAGAAATACTGTGCGAAATCCACTTCTTTGTCCACCGCACCACTGCTGCTGCCAATACGTTCGCTTCCCGCGGCGCCATTCCCGAAGCTACCCATCCTACTGCTCTCTCTGTCCGCTTTCACCGTTTCGCACTGTGTGCTACCTGCTCGAAGGGGAAGAGCAAAAGGGAGAGAGGAAGAGAGAGAGAGGGAAGGTGGAAATGGAGGGAAGGGAAATGTGCTTTTAGGGCAAGATCAAGGTGAAGGAGTTGTGCTTTGTTGGCAATTAGAACTTGCCACGTCAGTACCACGTAAGCACAATGGGTCCCACCATCAACATATTCTGTCTGGATTTGCCGTCCTGATTGATGTTTTGATTGATTCTGGGCTGGGCTTTTGTCCTTGTTTGCAAATTATGAAGCAGGTAATCAGAAGCCCATGGAAATTGAAACGACGCCGTAGAAGCCCATAGTGACCCGTGGAACGAGTTGGGAATTTCCTCGATTATTTCCCACGTGATTAATTACTTAAAAAACTTATGTGAATATTAAATAAAATATTTAATTCAAACGAAATATTAAACAAAATAAATATATAAATAAAGAGAAAATATAAAAATAAAATTCAAATTCCTCAGTTGGCCTCGAAATTCCATTTTTGGCAGCAGTTAGTGCAGAAGTTGAATTTTATTATTTTTCTCTCCCGAAAATAAAAATGTATTTATTTAGGTTGGCTGTATATATACCTTTCCTTAATCGTATAAACGTGTGGGATTTAAATACGTGTGAATCAATAATTTGGAAAGGGGAGAAAGATGTAGAGTTTTCTCAGTAACGGGTGTGAAAAAAGTCAAATGATAGAAGTATATATATATATATGTATATACATATAGTATACATGGCAACTTTTAAATATGTGTGAATCTCATTTTCAATTACCACTTACAAGTATAGAATACAATTTTACTATCCTTATGTAATATTATATTTACGATTGAATTGAAATGCACATTTAAATTGGAATTCTCAATCTCTTGTAAAAAAAGTCTTGTGAATTATTTAATCAAAAAATATTAATTTTTTAAGAATATTTTGAATAATATAGTTATATGTAGCGCCCGGAGAAAAGGGGCCGGAAAAAAAAAAAAAAAAAAAAAAAAAAAAAAACCCACGTCGGCAGCCACGTCAGCAGGCCCGGTCAGCAATCCCGGCCAACCGGGGCCTGCCACGTGGCAAGACCACATCACTCCGGAACGGGCCACGTTGGCGATCCGCGTGGGCGCGATCGGACGGCCCAGATCAATCGCGCGATTGGACGGCCCAGATGCAATCGCACGGACGGCCCAGATTCAATCAAAAACGAACGGCCCAGATTAAAATAAAATGGACGGCTGAGATCAAAAGGCAATGGGTTATAAATAGAACCCCCACACCAGACCACAAACCCTAGCCGCCTGCCGCTCGCCGGAGAAGACGAACCAGAAGCCGGCCGCCGCCACCCGCCGCCGCACCGGAGGAACTTTCGACCGCCGATCGAGGTAAATTTCGTACCCTCGACTCGTTCTTCCATGCTGATTCCTCCTGTGGCCAAATCGGAGCCAAAATCCCAGCCAAACGGCCGGAATGCACGGCCGAAGCCCAGCGGCGCCGCCGCACCCTTCTCGGTTTTTGCCTCCGATGAGGCCCTTCCCGGCCTCCGTTTGATGCAAATTTTATATCACCGTAATCACCACTCTTTTCTCTACAGGTTGACCGAAGCCGAATCACCAAAACACGAACCTCGCCGGAGAGCCACCGCACCCGAGAGCGCCGCCGCCGGTAAGCTCCGTTTTTCCGTGATTTTTTGGCCCCCCGAGGGCCCTAGGGTTGTTTTCTCGCATGGACCGATGCGAGTGTGGCCGAATTCGGCCGAAAACAGCCAACCCGAGGCGAATTGCCGCCGTACCGGAGTTGCGATTTGGGCCGAAAGGGGCCCTGGGCCTAATTTGTGATTTTTTTTGGAACACGTGCAGGTACCAGTAGTGCGTTTCAGTTCCCCGAGGAAAATTCAGGGAAAATTAGGGACAGCCTGTAGGCGCACTGTGAAGCCGTGTTCGGACCCCGAAACGAGTAAGGACCCCTCACCCTATTTCCTATCACGGTATTAAAGTTCAAAATGATAAAACGGTATTTCTTGAATTAACGAATGTGTGAAATTGCTTAAGGTGGCTAATGGAGCCCGAGTCTAGTGTGATTGGTGATTTACTGTTATTTGGCATGTTTACAGTTTTAAATGCAAAATGAGGTTTGATGTGTTCATTTTACAGATTTGTGTGCATATACTACGTTTTTATTAATTATGGGTGAATGACTGAAAAACTGATACTGTGTGTTGTCTATTTGGCATGAATTACGATTTGCTTGTTTAAATGTGAATTGATGATGCTGACTGAGGAAAAAGAATATGAAAGATGTGTAGACTGATAATTGTATTATGGAGGTCAGCCTGACTAGATATCCTGGGAGATGGTGGACGGACCGGATCCGTAGGGAACCCTGCCGGGATTGTGGTCTCACATGCCGGACGGGGTATGGAGATCTTATGGTTTTGGCGCCCATACCGGATGGGGTATGGGGACGGCCCGTTTCACCCTCATACCGGACGGGGTATTGAGGTTTATGGTTTTGGCGCTCATACCGGACGGGGTATGGGGACGGTCCTAGAAACTGATTATGAATGTTAAAGGTTAACGGGTAGTGGGACCCCTATGGACCCCCACGGATACTAGTAAGCTGGTAAATGAGAAAAAAGATATGTTGTATAATGATTGAATTACAAGAGGCGTGATAAGTGTTATGTTTTACAGCTTATATTATTCCATGATTATGATAATGTTATTGTTTTTCTTATATTGTTTTCATAAATTCCACCGATGTAAGTGGATGGTAAAGGTTTTATCATAAATAAAAGGATTTATTGTAAAACATGCTCCATGGGTCCTTTGTGTTTTCTACCCACCTTTACCTCCGTGACGGTGAGATATCGTGATGTTCTTACTGGACTAGTGTAGCTCACTCCTTATTTAACCATTTCAGATCAGGAAGACATGGTTCCCGAGTCCATTCCGCAGGATGACGACGAAAGGGATGCCTAGAGACTCTGTAGTCATACTCATAGCTTTGTTTTCGAGTTTCTCTTTTAGTTAGTTTAACCTTTCATATTTTAAGTACGTTTTTGGTTTTCGTGTAAGGGATGTTAACTGAAATTTTGATCTCGCTTCCGCATTTGATATATTTAAATACTCATTTCATTTTAATATTTCCGGGGCCGTTACATTATATCTCTAAATATTTTTATAATATAAAAAAATTGATATATTAAAATTTTAAAAATATTTACTATAAACCAATTATCAACAAAGTGTATATCGTCTCACCCACTCAACTTAATATACAATAATAAATATTTTATAAAATACGTACAATGTATGTAACGATTCTGTAAATCCAAAAAAAATATATATAATAATTTAAGTGTAGAAGCGAAATAAAATGTTAACGTTTACATCATTTACACAATGACTTAAAAGTATTGAACAACATTACGAAATGAATTTTCTGAAAGAAATACGATAAATAAGAAACATAATGGAAAATAGAAATTATCTAGCATCTACTTGCGATTTTCTTACGGATCGAGCTCTAGAACCAGATCCTCTTGATATGAAATGGTTAAATAAATGATGAACTACACTAACCCAGTAAGGATATCACACTATATAACCGGCACATAAGTAAATGTTGGTATAAAATCAAAACAACTAATGGAGCACTAAATTTAGCAAATTCGTTTATCAATCATAAAATTATTTACCGTTGTGGAATTTATGAAAACAATCTATAGAGACAATAATATCATACAGATCATAACTTCATGAACAATCAGCAACATAGAACATATCATATATTCATATCTATTAACAATAAACTTAATCATAACCGTTTCTCATTTCACCAGCCTACTGGTATCTATGGGGGTTCATAGATATGTTTTCTCTACATGTGAACCATTTTTCTTAACAATCTCAATTACAGAGTCGTCCCCATACCCCGTCCGGTATGAGCGTCAATACATTAAATCTCAATACCCCGTTCGGTATTAGCGTCAAATTACCAAGTATTTATACCCCGTCCAGTATGAGACAATGTTCACGGTAGAGTTTCACATGTACCCAGTCTGTCCACCATCTCATAGGATATCTAGTAAGGTTGTCATTTCGTCTGTTTAATTAATCACATCACTTTCTTGTTATTCTTTAGTCTCCATTACCAAATTACACATAATCACATAAACAAACAAACATGCATAAGGTAACGCAATCATGTCTCAAATTCCAAATCAAACAGTAGTCAAGTAAGACAGTAATACGTGTATTTAAACCATTAAATATATAAATTAGATATTATCATGCTTTTAAACTGTAAAATAAATCAATAGAGAGTAATGTCTGGTTCGAGCTCCATTAGCAATCTGTAATTAAATACGCACATCTATTTAATTTATACAAATTACCGTATTATTATTTATTAAAACTTCAATTTTATAATAGAAAATAGGATGATGGGTTCTTACTCGATTTGACGTTGAAAAGCTAAACGGTTTACTACGCTTACGGGTGATCCCTAAGTTCCATGAATTTTTCTCTAGGAACTGAAACGCGCTTATAATATCTACAAATATTCCAAATAAACCCAAAATCAGTCTTAGGGCCCGTTGGGCCAATTTCAAAAATCCAGCACGGCGGCGGTTGTCTGCCTTGGGTCGACCGTTTTCGTCCGCTTTTGGCCGAATTCGGCCGATTTTGCATCGATTCTTATGAGCACACACGCTAACGGGTCTCAGTGAGCCAGAAAAAATACGAAAAACCGAAACTCACCGGCGTTGGGGATCTCCAGTGTAACAGCTCCTCCAGCTCACATTGCGGTTGGGTGTTTCACTTCGGTCAACCTGTAGAGAAGAAAACAGTGATCACAACGGTGAAAAAATTACGCGAAACGGAAATCAGGAAGGGCCTCATCGGAGGCAGTTTGTGAAATCCCCCGCGGCGGCAGTGCCGGGCTTCGTCGGTGTTTTCCAGCTAATTGGCTGGTTCTTTCACCCTGATTTGGCCATCGGTGGATTTAAAATTGAATTTCATGCAACAAATTTTTTTTTATACCTTTTTAAATTACGTTTTGACCTCTAGTTTCTGATTTTTTTTTAAAAAAATATTCTCTGAATCCAATTTTTCAATCATTTTTTTTCAAAATTATTTTTAATTTAATCCTTAATAAATTTTATCTTTTTTTTCATTAAAATAAAATAAAATATAATAAAATAAAATAAATTAATAAATAATTGTATTTATTAATAAAAAATAAAAAATAAAAGATTTTGGTGGGTGTTACAAACGTATGAGTGTAATTGCCGTTGATTAAATTTTAATAAATTTATTATATTTTAAATAAAATAAGTATTTAATATTTAATATATTTTTTTAATTCAAATAATTACATTCACATATATAAATATATAGTTTAAAGCGTGAATTAACAACAAATAAACTATATTTAATACAAACAAAATACTTGATTGAGAATATATATATATATCTAATGGTGATTTATGACGGATTGATAGTGTGATGATCTTTTCCAACCAAAATGATGCCTACTTCCGATCAGCATACCTCTGCTTATCCCTCATCTTGTCAAATATGTAGGTGCTATTCCCACATCTCCCTTTTTTTGCCTTTGTATATACATTCACATATATATATATAGATATCATTATGCATTTTAACCGTACTATACCCATTTCCTTTGCACATATATATATACACACACACACACACACACACACACACACGATGTATTGAGTATATCACATCCATTAACAGTAATTATTTATGCTTCTATTTATAGATGAAAGCGTGTGAACTGGGGAGGTTGACGCCAACTGCAACTCAGCTTTTGATTATTCTATGCATGTCTCTCTTGACTTCAAATGTGCGGAGAAGTAGAGATTGATTGGGTCAGCTACTTGGAATGATGAAATTTTTTTGATTATGTTTAAACCGGAGACAAATAATTAATTTTGTGATTAATATAAATAATTAAAATTTGTAGTTACATACTTAATATTTATATTATTTAGTGGATGCTGACAATATTTTATGTATAATTTCAAAATAATCACTATAACTGAGTATTTGTCGTTTATTTAATTAAACAATTTGGATGGGTACATAAAATAATGTGAGTATTTTATTTGTTTATTGGACACGTGAGATATGTAATTTTTTTATTGATTTTATATATATATATATGTATATTAGGAATTAAGTATAATTATAAATAAATTTTAATTTATATTAAATAAAAAAAACAATGTAAAAAATTGTATTTATGTATTATATATTAGTGAATATATAGATTTATAATTAAAAAAAAAAAGAGTAATTTAATTTAATATAAAATCAGCATCGTTAGTAGCCTCTATAAATTATTTTTTAGATTTTTTATAAAAAAAATTATTTTAAAATTTTAAATTTGAAAAATATGTATTAATTAATATATACCCGCTTGAATTTGATGGGTGAAATAAATTTATCGGTTGGTCCCCACACTATTAATATTTGCATAACTTTTCAAGTTTGAATTGTAAATATATCCATACGTTGATATATATTTATAAATATATAAATATCAGCTCGGAAAAAGAAAAAATTATTGTTCGAGAAATGTAAAGTACAAATCTCTGGTCATAACACTCTTCTTCAATTGTTGATGATGATGATGATGGAGCTCTAATGGAGGACAAGAAAGCAAATATAATAGCTCTTACAGTCGTGCTTACACTCGTCGTCTTCATCATCGTCTCTCGAGTCATACTCAAGCTCTCCAAGGGTTTCTTTCTCATCACCGGGGCGGGCAGTGCAGTGATCCTTGCAGTCTTCGTTTGTCTTTTCATCAGAAGACGATACAACAGGAGGAGAAAGATTTTGGAGTCGAAGCTCGTTTCTGAAGGCAGAGAGCTTCGGATCGAATACAGTTTTCTTCGTAAAGTTGCTGGACTCCCGACGAAATTCAGATTCAAGGAGCTTGAAGAAGCAACGAACAATTTCCAGTTATTGTTAGGGCAAGGAGCGTCTGCTTCTGTCTTCGAAGGAACCCTAAATGACGGAACTTCTGTAGCCGTGAAGAGAATCGAGGGAGAGGAGCACGGGGAGAAGGAATTCAGATCGGAGGTCGCCGCCATTGCTAGCGTCCAACATGTAAACCTAGTGCGTCTTATTGGTTACTGTAATTCTGCTCCCGGCAGTGCTCGATTTCTTGTTTATGATTTTATCTCAAATGGATCACTGGATTGTTGGATATTCCCGATACGAGCCGCTGGAAATCGGCATCGCGGAGGTTGCTTGTCGTGGGATTTGAGGTACAAAGTCGCCATTGACGTGGCCAAAGCACTCGCGTACCTTCACCATGATTGCCGATCGAGGATCCTCCACCTCGATGTGAAGCCGGAAAACATACTAATCGACGAGAATTACAGAGCAATCGTCTCCGACTTCGGGCTGTCGAAGCTGATGGGGAAAGACGAGAGCAGAGTCGTCACAACAATCAGAGGAACGAGAGGGTACTTAGCACCAGAATGGTTATTAGAAAACGGAATCTCTGAGAAATGCGACGTTTACAGCTACGGCATGGTTCTTCTAGAGATGATTGGTGGTCGGAGAACCGT